CATTGCTTTATGCTTTTATCTTTATGAAGTTTTTTTCTTCTTATTCTGGACCTAACCTGCTCTTCTTTTTTCTAGTTTCTTAAGATAGGGGTTTAGATTATTCAGATCTTTGTTTTCAAATCTAGGTATTTAGTGCTATATCTTTCCCTCTAAGCCCAGCTTTAGCTGTGTCATACATCTTGATAGGTTTGCTTTTTATTTTCATTCAATTCAAAATTTGGTTCTTTGATTTTTCTTTGACCCATAGTTATTTAGAAGAACATTGATTAATTTACAGAAGTTTGGAGAATTCCCAAGTATCTTTCTATTACTGATATCTAGTCTAATTCTGCTGTGGCCAGAGAACACACTTCGTATAGCTTAATCTTTTCAATTAGTTTAGATTTATTGTATGGCCCAGAATATAATCTACTTTGGTGAATATTTCATGTGCACTTAAAAAAGAATATGTATTCTCTTGTTGGGTGGAATGTCCTGTAAATGTCAATTAAGTAAAGCTAATTATTGTTCAGGTCTTTTAGACCCTTGTAGATATTGTTTATTATATCAATTACCGAGAGAGTGTTAATGTCTCCAGCTATTTAATGGATTTGTCTGTTTCTTCTTGCAGCTCTATCAGCTTTTAAAGATCTCTTTTTAGATGTATGTGCATTTAGAATTGTTACATCCTTTCAATGAATTGACCTCTTTGTATATAACCTGCTTCTATATCCAGGCTAAAAGTCCTTATTCTGGTCTAATTTGCCTGATATTAATATAGCCACCACTCCAGTTTTTTTTTTTTTGATTGGTGCTTCCAAGTTATATCTCATCTCATTATTTTTTAACCTATCTACATCTTCATGTTTAAAGTTGGGTTTTTTGTAGAGTATATACTTCTTTTAAAGTCTACTCTGACTGGACTGCTCGTGTGCCTCATTTGGTTAAGTGCCAGACTCCTGACTTTGGCTCAGATCATGATCTCCAGTCATGAGGTCAAGCCCTGAATCAGGCTCCCCTTGGGGCATGGAGGCATATTCTCTCCCTCTTCCCCTGCCTCTCCCTTGCTCACACTCTCTCTCTCAAAGAAAAACAAAACAAAAGCCAAAAAAACTATTCTAACAATCTCTGCCTTTGAATTGGGGTGTATAGACCCTTTACATTAATATATGTATTGCTATGGGTGTATTTAACTCTATCATTTTGCCAGGTTTTTAAAATTTGTCCTAATTTTGTTATAGTCTTGCCTTCTTTGGATTATTTTTTATTTTTATCTTTTATATTATTATTTAGTTATATATATTTTTATTTTTAGTGAAATATACTATATATACTATATATATACTATATATTACTATCTCGCAATATATTGTTCCAGTTTTTGCTTTAGACTAGGGATTGTCCAATTAGGGCCAGCAGGCCAAATCCAACATACGGCCTGATTTTGTATGGCCCTTGAGCTAAGAATGGCTTTTATATATTTTTTTAGAGTTGTAAAAAGGAGAGAGTGAGAGAAAACAAGAGAGGAGGATATAGGAATATTAAAAGATTTTGTCTTTGTTTTTTAGTAATTTGACTATTATGTGTCTAGGTATTTTATTTTTAAATTCTCCTACTTGGAGTTCTCTGAGCATCTTAGATCTGTGATTTATTGTCTTTCACTATTTTTTGAAATTTGTCAATTACTATCTCTTCAAATACTTCTGCTTTGTTTCTTTTCTCCGGGAATTCCAATTTCATGTGTGTTAAATTGTTTGATATTATCCCCCAGCTTTTGATTCATCTGTCTTATTTTATTCACGTATTGTTCTTTTGTGTTTCACTTTGGATAATTTCCACTGGCCTATTTTCAAATTCCAATTCTTTCCTCAGCCATGCCAAGTCTATTGATGAGCCCACCGAAGGCATTCTTCATTGCTGTTAGCATGTTTTTTCATCTCTAGCATTTCCGTCCCAGCTAAAATTTACCATTGCTCAGGAAGGTTGTCCATTTTTTCCATCAAATCCTTTAACACATCAATCCCAATTACTTTATGGTCTCAGCCTCACAGTTCCAATATTTGGGATGTCTCGGAGTTTAGTTCCATCATGCTTCATCTCTTCACAATAGATTGTTTTTTCTTACATTTCTTTTAGTCTTAGAATTTTGTTTTACTGAATATCACATATTTGTGATTAGTAGAGGCAGATAAATAATGTCTATACCTGGCCATTAGTGTGAGGGCCTGATTAGTAGTTAAAACTGGTTTTGATTTTGTTATTTTTACTTTTATTGCACTATGGTCTGTGTGTTCCTTCAGGGATGGGCTGCTGTCATCTTGTACTTGGAACTGGACCCAAGTCCCAGAGGTTTATTTTCCAGCTCCACCTTCAGCTTTCAGCAAGGCCTGGTTGCCTGTGTCATTCCACAATCTTGTGCTTCCCCAAGTTACAACCTGCTATTGTTTATTACTTCATACTGAGCTGATGATGGGTGGGGGTAGAAATTCTTGGCTCTCCTTGTCCATTCTCAGACTTAGGTAGGATCTGTGTACCTGGTACCTGTGGTAGCACCTTCTCAGAATTTCTGGCCCCTCCCCCAAGGTAGCTAACATACTGAGGCACTACTCACAGTTGTTGAACAGAAGCGTTCTTACATTCTTCCAATAATACATTTCTGCTTGGTATTGGGGCAGGATCCTGGGCCTAAGAGGTGTTCTGCCTCTCTCTAAGGACAAAAAGTTTTGCACTTACCCTTTCCCCAGAGGCAGTGGACCTTTGCCTAGGTCCTGGATGCAGGAAGGTTTGCTCTGTGTCCACCAGTGTCTAATGGCTTTCTTATACCAAAGTCTGAGGAAGTGAGTAGTGTTTCACATCTGTCACCCAATACCATTCTGTCAACCACTACCTGCATGCCTTTGTCACTGAGGGATCTATTCCTTCCAGGTTCCTACCCTAGGGGTTCTCATTGTTACCCAGTGGAGGTTTATAGAAAGGAACCCTTGAGTGAATGGATGTTAATTACTGTCATTTCAGGGCTCCCACTTATTCTAAAGGTATATTTTAATCCACATTTTGTCTTTAAAGAATACTCTAAAAATTCAAGTGGTTCCTGTTGGGAGACAATTCTTCCAGGGTCTCCCATTTCCAAGTGATTTATGTATAGACGCACTGACTGTCTTTGTTTTGGACCACCTTTTCAGCCTGGGAAAACACAGACAGGTTTGATTACTGTCTACTATCGTAAAGGTGTCTCCCTCCAGACCTAAAGGCAAGCATGCTTAATACCTATTACAAAATATTTAGGTTCCCTGAGCTCAGGGTTCGTCCCTTGCAATGCAACCCACTGCCTACATAGGTGTCACCTGGCCCTCTTCTAATGGCACTGTAGGGTTGGGGGTCAGGGATCCAGCACATACTGACTCTCTGATAAATGCTATTACAGTGAGTAATAAAGTCCTTTTTCTCTGACTCAGGAAACTGTGGCTCACTAACTTAAAATTTGAAGGTAGAGTAAAATCTTAGACTCTTCTAAGTCCTTGATAATTCCTTCTTACTTGCTTTAGTATTCTATTCTCTGCCAAAGGGGAAGCCATTCATGTATCCTATCTCCCCTTGAAAGGTCTTGCTGAGTTCCTTTGGTTACCTTCTCTGATGGATATTAAGAAAAATTATGATTGATGGGGCACATGGGTGGCTCAGTTGGTTGGACGTCCAACTTCAGCTCACGTCATGATCTTGCAGTCTGTGTGTCTCAGCTCTGCATCAGGATCTGTGCTGACAGCTCAGAACCTGGAGCCTGCTTTGGATTCTGTGTCTCCATCTCTCTCTGCCCCTTCCCTGTTCAGATTCTGTCTCTACCTTTCTCTCTCAAAAATAAACACTAATTAAAAAAAAATATATGACTTTTCTTGTTGTTAGGATGGGGGTAATAAAATTATCTGGCAGCTTTCTACATCTTAAGGGGAGGCACAGCTCCCAAGGTATACCTATTTGATTACCTTCTATTACTAAAGATAGACATTTACTAATTTGTAAAGTCTATTGCTCTGTTAATGCACATGTTTAGTTTTTTAAAGCAGTATAAGTTCATATGAGGAACTCTTAAGAATTTTGAAAAACTGTCCATGTGATGTTTCATCACAGAGATGGAAGCAATGGACCAAGAATGTTTACCTTCCAGCATAGGTGAGGCCAAAGAGGGTGAAAGAATCTGATTCATGAGAGACATTCTACATAATGTACATGTGAAGTGGCTACGAAGTCTTCTAGAAGATTGGGGGAGGGGGAGACATTTAAGAAAACTATAACCACTTGGGGTTAGAGAGAGGGCTTTTGAAACTCTCAAAACTGAATAGGAGGATATGACAGAAAACCTTGAAAAGGATGCAAAGAACAGAAGAACAGCAAGCGGTATTGTGAGAAAACTCACTACATTCATTCTTACTTTCTGGTAAACAGAATCTAGATTTCTTTGTTTGTTTGTTTGTTTGTTTATTCATTTCGAGGAAGAAAGGACAAGGGGAGGGGCAGTGAAAGAGGAAGACAGAATCCCAAGCAGGCTCCATGCTGTCAGGGCAGAGCCTGATGTAGGGCTCGATCTTATGAACTGGGAGATCATGATCTGAGCTGAAATCAAGAGTCGAACACCCAACCGACTGAGCCACCCAGGTGCCCCCAGAATCCAGATTTTTGTGAGATTTACCTCTTCTGCATTGTGAAAGTCTGGTTAGGGCTCCCAACTAAAGTGCCCACTCATCCCCTATCCAAGTTTCCCAGGATTCTCTGAATCACAAAAGATAGAAAAACAGTTGGAACTGATTCATCACCGAGCTGTTAGTTTCTCACACATAGAACCTAGAACAGCCTTGGTTCCCATCTTTTTAAAATGTGGCTTAATTTTTCTTCTAACTCTGTGAATTACCCAATATTCCCATTTTGCTTAAGTTTCTGTTACTTGCAACCAAAGAAAGCCAATCGATACAGGGTAAGTGGTCCAATAGAGGGCATGGCAGAGGTCAAAGGAAGCTTTTGAACATAGGTAGCCTGAAATCTAGACACTTTATTAAAAGAACATGTTATTAACAACTGTCAAAATTGCTGGGTATGGTACAATAACTCACTGATTTTTTATTTCTGTGTGCTTATAGTTAATTAACATTTTCTATTGGTTAGGCTAATGTTTTCTTATTACTACAAACTATATTTAGAGTTCATTCTCATTATCTCCCATGTTAGAAATCAAAACAAATGAGAATGAACTGAAATAATATGCATTACATACTACAAGAAAAATATCAAGAAGGGGGTGCTAACAGTAGAAAATTATCTATGTTACAATGAAATATAGCTATTTTTGCTTTTTAAGATTCCAGTTATGAACTCAGTTGTTCTAGGCAAACCGTATGTGCAGAAAATTTCAAGAATCAGATACCCCAGGTAGGTATTAAAAGGGAGAAATACAGTGGAGCACAAAGTACGATGTTCTCAACAAATGTCTCAAAAATATGGATGAAGCAAAAATGAGACAAACTACTACAAACAGATCACCCTGACAAGTAAGTGCTTTTGGAATGCAAAATTACTTTTCTGGCTAATCTTTCCCTCTCATTATACAGACGAGGCTCTATGGCTTCTCCTCTCATTATATAGATGAGGGAGACCAACTGATTTGTCCAGAAAGCTTACAAAGGTATATTTCACACATGGCTCAGATGGGGGAGCCTCTCTTTTTGAGAGGAGGATAGCAGAATGTTTAGATCCTCTTCAATTTAGCAATATAACTTGTAGAATTAAGAACAAGTTTTAAGATTCTCTTACATACATTTTTACATATTATATACATATAAGGTTATATAGATTATCATACATAACTATGTATAATATACATAATTGCGTGTGTGTGTGTGTGTGTGTGTGTGTATAATCTCGTTGAGTCCTTTTTAGGGTTATATCATTACCATTCAAAAAATGTAAAAACACATTTATAATGAAAGATACGGTTGTGTCAAGATAATAATCAGGATAAGACTACCTAATATATCTTTAATATCCAAGATTTTTTTTTTAAATATAACTAAGCAGAACAAGAATATTCTACCACAGGTTAGTTTCAGACAAGATTACTCAACCTTGGAACTACTGATATTTGGGCAGGATAATTCTTTGTTGTGAGGGGCTGTCCAATGCATGACAGGGTATCTAGCAGCATCCCTGACCTTTACCCACCCCTAGATGCCAGTAATACCTCTAGTCACAAGCAAAAATGTCTCTTGACATTGACAAATGTCTCCTGGGGGCAAAACTGCTCCCTGGTTTAAAAACACTGTTTTCAACATCATGTCTACAACAAAGCAAATACAACTTCAGCTGTGTGATATCACTGTGAAGTCAACTATGATTAAACTAGAGTCACATTTTTATTCTAATTCAAAATATTTCATGGCTAGACCCAAGTTAAATTAATTATACCAGTTTTTGTCTAGAGCTGAGCTTCCAATTCAGTAGTCACTAGCCCTATCGGAAGGGAGAGGTATAGTAAGGGTGAAATAATCACTGGATTTTGAAGCCTTGGTTGAAAAAAAGAATGTAAAATATTGTAATTTTCATGTTAACTGAGCTAATTTGGGTATACTTACTGGGTGAAATATTAAAATTAATTTTACTTGCTTTTACCTTTTTTAAAGGTGCTACTATAAAATTCCAAGTTAAATATATGATTCACATTATATTTCCATTGGACAACAATGGTCTAGAGACTGGAAGTGATTATTATTTTTTAATAGGTTCTTCAATCTACCAAATAAGCTACAATGATTTTGTAAAGCTCTCCACAACCCTATGAAACCAGCTCATAACTCTTGAGCATCACAATTCTTTATTATCATGCCTAAGTGATTTTTCTCCTTCTTTAAACCAATTACTTCTATTCCAATGCTTTATTCTCAGTGTTTCAATTGGTTCTTTTCTGATTGTTGATTTATCTTCATGTTGTTTTTTATCATTCTCCTGCACGTTGGTTTCTTTTATACACTTGGGCGCTTTCCTTGCAGAATGTTGAGATGCTGCAGCATCCATCATACTTAGAAAATCATAAGCAGGAAGAGGAGGTTTCCATTTCTGAGCAGGTAAAATTGCTGAAAGGAAGATACAATCAAAGGTTAATAATGAACAGATATAACATCATCATACAAATATACCAGAAAATATTTTATTTTGAAAAATATAGATGTAAGAGTAAAGGTTTAACCACTTTTTACATACCTAAACAAAACTAGATTTGTTTTATCATTGTCTAAGAAACTTGATACATCTGTCATTACTAGCCATTTTCATTTTTTATATTATATTTGCAAACTATTATATTCCAAATAATAGTAATAGGGGGAAAAAAAGGCCCAGAATCTCCCTGCTAGTTAACCCTTATTGAGATTTTTTAAAAAATAGCAATATGGTAATGAGATCACATACAGGCAGATACAAGTTAAAATGAAAAAGCCTCCTGTTTCCCACCTTATCCAACTTTACCCCAAAGAACTGAAACTTTTTTTTTTAATTCCAGTATAGGGAACATAGTGTTATATTAGTTTCAGGTGTACAGTATAGTGATTCATCAGTTCTACACATTACTCTCTGCTCATCACATTAAGTGTAGTCTTAACCCCTTTACCTAGTTTGCCCATTCCTCCACCCACCTTTCCTCTGGTAACCACCAGTTGCTCTCTATAATTAAGAGTCTGTTTTTTGGTTTGTCTCTTTATTTCTTTGTCCATTTGTTTTACTTCTTAAATTCCACATATGAGTGAATCATACAGTATTTGTCTTTCTTTGACTTATTTCACTTAGCATTATACCTTCCAGGTCCATCCATGTGGTTGCAAATGGCAAGATTTCATTGTTTCTTTATGGCTGAGTAATAATCCATTATGTGTATATACCACATCCTCTTTATCCATTCATCTATCAATAAACAGTCTGCTTCCATTATTTGGCTGTTGTAAATAATGCTGCAATAAACATAAATGCTGCATATATCTTTTTGAATTAGCATTTTCATATTTCATGGGTAAATACCCAGTAGTAGAATTACTGAATCATATGATAATTCTACTTTTAATTTTTTGAGGACCCTCCATGCTATTTTCCAAAGGGGTTGCTCCAGTTTACAATCCCCCAACACTGCATGCAGGTTCCTTATTCTCTGAATCCTAATCAATACTTGTTTCTTGTATTTTTTATTTAGCCATCCTGACAGGTGTGATGTGATATCTCATTATGGTTTTGATTTGCATTTCCCTAATGATGAGTAATGTTGAGCATCTTTTCATGTGTCTGTTGACCCTTTGGATGTCTTCTTTGGAGAAATATCTGTTCATGTCTTTTGCCCATATTTTAATTGGATTATTTGGTTTTTTGGCTTTGAGTTGTATAGTTCTTTGTTTTTTGGATACTAACCCTTTATCAGATATGTCATTTGCAAATGTCTTCTCCCATTCAGTAGGTTGTCTTTTAGTTTTGTCGATTTTTCCTATGCTATGCAGAAGCTTTTTATTTTGAGGGCCCCAATAGTTTATTTTTGCTTCCTTTTCCCTTGCCTCAGGAGGCATATTAGAAAAATGCTGCTATGGCCAGTGTCAAAGAGGTTATTCCCTTTGCTCTCTTCTAGGATTTTTATGGTTTCAGGTCTCACATTTAAGTTCTAATCTATTTTGAGTTTATTTTTGTGTATGGTGTGAGAAAGTAGACTAGTTTTATTCCTTTGCATGTAGTTGTCCAGTTTCCCAACACCATCTGTTGAAGACAATATCTTTTTCCCATTACATATTTTCACCTCCTTTGTCAAAGATTAATTGGCCATATAATTGCAAGTTTATTTCTGGCCTCTCTATTCTGTTTCATTGATCTATATGTCTATTTTTAAGCCAGTACCATACTGTTGTGATTGCCACAGCTTTGTAGTATATCTTGAAATCTGGGATTGTGATACCTCCGGTTTTATTCTTTTGCAAACTTGCTTTAGCTGTTTTGGGGTCTTTTTTCTGGTTCCATAGACATTTTAGGACTGTTCGAGTTCTGTGAAAAATGCTGTTGATATTTTGATAGGGATTACATTAAAATCTATAGATTGCTTTGGGTAGTATGGAAATTTTAACAAATTAATTCTTCTAACCCACGAGCATGGCATATCTTTCAATTTATTTATGTTATCTTTCTATTATCAGTGCTTTATGGTTTTCACAGTATAGTTCTTTTACCTCCCTGGTTAAGTTTACTTCTAGGTATTTTATTGTTTTTGGTGCAATTTTAAATGGGCTGGTTTTCTTAATTTCTCTTTCTACTACTTCATTGTTACTGTGTAGAAATGCAGTGGATTTCCATATATTGACTTTGTATCCTGCAACCATATAGAATTCATTTATCAGCTTTTTAGTGGAGTTGTTAGGGTTTTCTATATATAGGATCATGTCACCTACGAATACTGACAGATTTACTTCTTCCTTACCAATTTGATTCCTTTTATTTCTTTTTCTTGTTTCATTGCTGTGGTTAGGACTTCTAGTACCATGCTGAATAAAAGTGGTGACAGTGGACATCCTTTCTTGTTCCTACTCTTAGAGGAAAAGCTCAGTTTTTCACTAAGTTCAATATGTTAACTGTGGGTTTTTCATATATAGACTTTATTATGTTGAGGTATGTTCCCTTTAAACCCACTTTGTTGAGACTTTTTATCATGAATGCATGTTGTAATTTGTGAAATGCTTTTTTCTGCATCTACTGAAGTGATCATATGGTTTTTATCTTTTGTCTTATTAATGTGATGCATCATGTTGATAATTTGCAGATGTTGAACCACACTTGAATCCAAGGAATAAATCCCACTTGATCGTAGTGAATGATTTTCTTAATGTATTGTTGGATTACGTTTGCTAATATTTTTTTGACAATTTTTGTATCTATGTTCATTAGAATATTGGCCTGTAGTTCCCTTTTTTTGTAGGCTCTTTATCTGATTTTGATATTCCAGTAATGCTGGCCTCATAGAATGAATCTGAAAGCTTTCCATACTCTTCTATTTTATGGAATAGTTTGAGAACAAGGTATTAACTCTTCCTTAAATGTTTGGTAGAATCACCTGTGTAGCCATCTGGTCCTGGATTTTTGTTCGTTGGGAGTCTTTTGATTATTGATTCAATTTCATTGCTGGTAATTAGTGTGTTCAATTTTCTATTTCTCCTTGATTCAGTTTTGGGAGGGTCTATATGTCTAGATATTTGTTTATTTCTTCTAGTTTGTCCAATTTGTTGGCATATCATTTTTCATAATATTCTCTTATAAATCTTTGTATTTCTGTGGTGTTGTTATTTCTCCTCTATCATTTCTGATTTTAGGTTTCTGAGTTCTCTGTGTTTTTTTTTTTTTTTTCCATGATCTGGCTAAGGGTTTATCAATTTTGTTGATCTTTTCAAAGAACTAGCTCCTGGTTTTACTGATCTATTGTTTTTTTAGTTTTTCTGGCCTTTATGTCTGCTCTGATCTTTATTTCCTTCTTTCTACTGGTTTTGGGTTTTGTTTGTTCTTTTTCTAGGTACTTTAGAAAGGTTTTTTAGAAAGGTTAGGTTTTTATTTGAGGTTTTTCTTCTTGAGGTGGGCCTATATTGCTCTAAACTTCCCTTTAGAACAACTTTTGCTGCATCCCAAAGATTTTGGACCATTAGGTTTTCATTTCATGGCCTCTCTATATTTATTTCCGTTGTCTCTCTCTATTTCCTTTTTGATATCTTGGTTGGCCCATTCATTGTTTAATAGCATGTTACTTAATCTCCTGGTAGTTGTGTTTTTTCCATATTTTTTTCTTCTAATTTGATTTATAGTTTCACAGAGTTGTGGTCAGAAAAGATACATGGAATGACTTGTCTTTCAATTTGTTGAGACTTGTTGTGTGGCCTAATATGTGCTCTATTCTGGAGAATGTTTTGTGTGCACTTGAAAAGAATGTAAATTCTGCTGTTTTAGGATAGAATGTTCTGAATATATCTGTTAGATCCATCTGGTCCAATATGTCATCCAAAGCCAATGTTTCCTTGGTTGATTTTCTGTTTGGATGACCTATCCATTGACATAAGTGGAGTATTAAAGTTCTCTACTATTACTGTATTACTCTCAATTAATTCCTTTATGTTTGTTACTAGCTGCTTTATGTCTTTGGGTGCTCCCATGTTAATGTATAAATATTTATAATTGTTTATATCTTCTTGGATTGTTTCATGAATATATAGTGTCTTTTTTGGTCTGTTGTTACAATCTGTTTTAAAGTCTATTTTGTCTGATATACCTATTGCTACCCTGGCTTTTTCACTTTCATTTGGATGATAAATGCTCTTCTGTCAGTTCACTTTCACTCTGCATGTGTCCTTAGGTTTGAAGTGAGTCTCTTATAGGTAGCATTTAGATGGGGCTTCCTTTTTCTTTTTCTTTTTCTTTTTTATCCATTCCCTCACTCTGTCTTTTGAATGCAGCATTTAGTCCATTTACAAATTTGCATTCAAGGTAATTATTGATAGGTATGTATTTATTGCCATTTGATACTTGTTTTATGGTTGTTTTGGCAGTACTCTGCTCCTTTCTTCTCTTGCTTTATTCTCTGATGATTTACTGGGTTTCTTTAGTGGCATGCTTGGATTCCTTTTTTTTTTTTTTCTTTTGCTTTCTTTTATTTTTTCTTTTTTTGCATATCTGTTACTGGTTTTTGACTTGTTACCATTAGGGGTGTGTGTGTGTGTGTGTGTGTGTGTGTGTGTGTAATCTTATGCATATAGGAGTTTATATTAAGTCTATATTAAGTTTGAACCCATTCTTTACTCTTTCCCAGCCATATTTTAAGAATATGATGTCATACTTTACATCCTTTTATTTTGTGAATCTCTTGACTGATTTTTACAGATAAACTTAATTTTACAGCTCTTGTGCTTCCTACTTTTCTTACTTCTGCTTATGGGCTTTCTTTTCTTTCCATTCAGAGTCCTGTTTCTAGTAGGGCTATTTTAATGGCCATGAATTCTTTTAACTTTTGTTTGTGTGGGAAACTCTCCTTCTATTTTAAATGATAGCTTTGCCAGATATTCTTGGCTGCAGACTT